ATTAAATAAAAGTAATTATATGTTTCAATGAAATATTTTAGTTAATTTCTTTCATTCCCTCGTATTTCGGCCCTGCTAAAAAAGATTCGCACACGGTCCTTTCCCGGGTAAAAGCGATTCGGTTCGTTGACCTACAATGGGACCTACGATCGTACGACTCTTGAAATCGGAGTCATAGCGTCTTATCGGGACGTTGACCTATATTTTGGAGTCACCTAAGTGCGTTCGACTCGCTCCATCCCCTTCCACTCGGATGCATGCGAGACATAGCGTCTGCTCTAACGTCCTTCCATACTCCATCCTTCTCATTCCTTCTTTCTCTCAAACGATCCATTCATACATTAGGAGTTGGACGTAACAATTAATAACTATTTATTTAGAGTTTCTATGTGTTATTGTGACAGCGGGGATAAACGTGATTGAAATATTTTTGAATAAAAAACAAATTTTAGGATTATTTTTATCAAACATAAAAAGTAATTATATAATTACCTTTTATGTTTAATAAAATATTGCACAATTATATAATTACTTTTATGTTTGATAAAAATAATCCCAAAATTTTTTTTTTATTCAAAAATATTGCAATGTAACGTTTATCCCCACTGTCACAATAACACAAAGTAACTTAAATTAGTGGTTATGAATCTTAGGAATCATTTATTTAATGATAAACAATTCTATTGAGTTCATTAATTTTATTTAGAAACTAAATCAATTAGATTTTATTATTATTTACTAATTATTATTAATTTATTATTAATTCTTAACTTACCTTATTATTATTTATTTTTGTTAATAATTACTAATATTGTTACATAAATTTCATCTTTACAGAGATTATTAAATGTAAAGACAATTTCAAGTGAATAGTGTTTTTAAATAGATACACATTTTATACATATATATATGTATATATATATAGACACATTGTAAAGAACAAGTTAGAAAATTGTGAGATATAAATTCATATAAACATGCTTAGAACAATATATATTAATAATTATAATATATCAATAATTGTTACTTTTATAGTGTTCTGTAGAATAAGTAAAATTTTTTAAATAAGAAAGATTTTTATTTCTAAGGAAAAAGATTTTTATTTCTAAGTAAAAAGATTTTTATTTCTAAGTAAAAAGAACATATAACTTCTTTTTACTTTAATGCAAGTATTCATTGCCAGTTTTTATTTAATATTCGTCTTAAGTAATGTTTTAAGATGTTATACATAAATTTATGACTTTTTCAGACGACACTCAAAATTATCATGAATATATAAGAATATATAAGAATCGATTATCAATATTGGGGTTTACTTATTTTTAGAATGTTTAAATTTATAACGTTGCGCTTGTCGAAACATAACATTATTACCAATGTATTTTTCTTTTCCAGATAATATTCTTTACTTTTGTACAAAACGTATTTATTTCGCATGATATTATGTGTTTGGCAAAACATTGTCTTATAAGGGGTGCATGATATGAACCCTGTATCCATTCCATTATTTCCTCTTCAATTAATACTTCTGTAAGTTTTCTTACAGAATATTTTTGACAAATGCAAATGATTGCAGTAAATCTTGAATGATCTGTACAGATCTTGTAAATGATTGTAATATTTTTGTATTAAGACATTGAACTATTGATTTCCATTTATATCTCCATTTGAAAAAATATTTGATTTGCATTCAATACAATCTTTCATAATACGTAACATTTTGCGAATTACAAATGCTACAGATGCTAAGTTACTCTGTGAATATGAAGTTGAATCCGTGGACAAAAAGATTTAGTACTGTTTTCAACATAATAAATAATTTGATTAATATCAGTATTGTCATTATAATTGTTTTCGATGTTAATATTATCCTCGTCTAATATATCACTATCAAGATTGTTACCATGTTTATCAACAAGGTTCAAAAGCATATCATCTTCATCATTTTCACAATTCGCACTTAATGAATGTGGCGATGTAAAATTATATATGAGAAGAGATTTATATGCTCCAATAAATTGTCAGCTAGATGGCACAATATTTCGGCAACTTTGACTTCGAATACGACCGAAATAGTTTTCAAGATTATCTTGATTGATATAACGAGGAGAAAAACTTTTGAAATCTTCTTTTAAGATTAGTCGTTTGTACAAAAGTATAAAACCTTGTGATGTAACTAACCAATTTGTTATACATGGAACACGATGGACTGGTCTCATTGTTATTTTATGTACAAATCGCATATTTTGTATAAATTTTCTTTGTTCCACCCAGAATTCTTTGTGACCAGAATTAATGGATACTTGTCAGCACCACGTTGTTGAATTTTTACCGTCTTTCTTTTCATTAAGCGAATCGAACAAATTATTCATAAAGAGCAGAATTTTACTTGTATCCAAAGTTTCTATTGGCATAACTGACCCGTCAGATGTTGAATGCATATATCTTGCTGCTGTGGCCAATGTACTAGCAAACGATCTGCTAAAAACTTATGCTGCATATTTAACTTTCATTTTTTTTATACATGAGGGCAATACATGACATCGTGTTATTTTCCTCAAGTTCCTGAGTTCTGTGTCTGCACACATATCTATTTCATATAATAATTGTAAATGATCCCAATTAGCGAAATGACGATTATCATTGTTATTAATTTTAAATTCTAAATTTTTTGTCAATAAGTTGTTACGCATACATTTTACTAAATGTGACACATCAAAAATTGGAATAATTTCTATTCCGTTTATGACGATTTTAGATAAATTTATATTTTGCTTTTGCTCAATAAGCTGTTCTTTCGTTTCAGATTTTAATTGATTAATAGCAGCAACGTTTGACGATCCTTGATCACATATAGTGGCAACAACTGTTAAACCAACTTTTTTCGCTAAAATATGAGACTTAATAAGCTTGATGAAGTTTTCATCTGAGATGCATAATAAAAAACTGAAAGGCATATTCCAGTTCCTGTGAATTCCCTTGAGCACAAGGGCATGATCCGCTAATGTTGAAGTTCTACATAAACCCCAGTCTTCGAAACCAACAACTTTGTTCACATTTGGATCATATTGCAAATGTGCCGATGTTTTCATTTCATCCCACATTAATATTACCAACTTGTCTTTCTCATTTTTCATCTCATTTACACAACTTTTTAATGCTTTTAAAATTGTACGGTTCAGACCAGTATCCATTTCTAAATGACTCAACATATTACGCAATGTTCTTACAGATGGCAAAATAAACATTGATCTGAATAAATAGTAACATTGACCAAATGTTTTATAAAAACTTAATGCTAGTGCTTTTTCTTCTTTAGTGAAGCGTCGGCCATTGGGGATAGTACCGAATTATTATAAACGCAACTGTAATTGAAAAAAAGTTAATTGTCTGGAATTTAATTTATTAGGAAATAAATTAAAAGCTTTTTCATTGAACAATTTTTTTGCGGCTGTAAGTCGCTGCTTAAAAGATAAATATTTGCGTTTATAATAATTCGCAAGCTTTTTAAATTGTTAAGCTATTGTATACATGCTTGTGGCTTATGAACAACATTTTAAAGCATATAATTTGATTTTTGATAACATCTGACCTGTTTTTTGACGTGTAGCACTGCGATTACATTGTAAGTTGTCAGAGCTGCTAATTGGAGACTTCGAAACTGCAATAAATTCACTAGATGTTTGAACATCGGAATTTACTGCAATTTCTTGCTCTTCAATTACGTTGCAGTTTGTCGAAGGTTCACTATCTCCACACATATCTGAAACTGGTGTGTCAGAAGAAAAAAGCATTGGCATTGCTTCTTTCTTTAACATTGGTTTACACGTTCCAGGTATGTAAGAATTTTCCTGAAAATGGAGCTTACAAATCAATAATAAGATTTACTTAAAGTCTTATAATCCATTTCATTTAACTCTTAGAGGCACAGCGGGACCGTTAAGGTCCTACCTGACGTCTTCTAATTTTTCAATTATTAAAAACGTATTATAGTCTATATACTCGGGTGTTTTGGTTTTTTAGGTGGCCAAGACATGGGGGAAGCTAAAAATATATTCACAAAAGCAATATGAATTAATATAACCTTGTTCTAAATAAACAAATATCGAAAAATGTGGTATTTTTTCGAAACAATTCATTTTCTATGTTAGTTTTCAATATAACAGAACAGAATTTGAATCATAGACGTTTTTGAGGTCGCTGATCATGAATCTGAAGTCAAAATTACAAAATTCAAAATGGCGGATCCAATATGGCGGACAACAGTTTTTAAACATTACTGTAATTGCATGAAATTCCATATAGGGGGTTTTTGGGGTCGCTGATTACGAATTTGACCTCAGATTTTCAAAATTTAAAATGGTGGATTCAATATGGCGGACCGAATGTTTAAAAAATTACTGTGATCGCAAAAAATTTCACACAAAGGAATTTTTGGGGCCGCTGATTATGAATTTGATCTCAGATCCACTAATTCTATTTCAGAATTCATGTTTTATACAATAAATGGTAGAAATACTAATAATTTTTCTGTTCAGGCTAAGTTATATGCGTCTGTTATACATGTGAGATCTATAATAATCTATTAGCATAATAAAACATATACGCAATTCACCATTCCAATTCACTACTCAAATTCGAAATATGCCATCCAAAATAAATTAATATCTGAATGTATGCGAGCGATTAGTCTAAAATTGCATGCTGAACATTGTTTACCATATGTAACTCTTTCTTTACAATTGAATGAACATGAAAGTGTTGGTATAAATACGACAAAATTGTTATATAATTATGATAAAATTGTGAAAATGTACTGCCACTTCTGTTATTATATGAATGAGGAATAGATTAAAGTGAATATTTTATAATTCGGTCCGCCATATTGGATCCGCCATTTTGAATTTTGAAAATGTAAGGTCAGATTCGTAATCAGCGACCTCAAAAACCCCCGAGTGACACGTTTCTTTCGATTAAAGTGAGTATTTTATAATTCGGTCCGCCATATTGGATCCGCCATTTTGAATTTTGAAAATGTAAGGTCAGATTCGTAATCAGCGACCCCAAAAACCCCCGAGTGACAAATTTCAGCTAAATTCAATGTAAAGAAAAATGTATGCTTCAAAGGGTTAAAGCATTGTTACAAATAATTCGTTTCCAAGCTTCACATTTTGCAAGATCTTTTGGAAATCTATGTTTTGTCCCTGTCCTTCCTGATTTGCATCCTAGAACAACGTCCTCCTGCAGCAACTACATGCTTTGCCGGTGGCATCTTTTCGAAAACTGAAACTGAATACACATAAATAATCTATTATAATATTTTGTATTTAAATTTAATATTATATATTTATTACTATATATAATATTATGATTATCAAATAATTAATGTAGTTTTAAGATTTAATAACTTATTTTAATATTTAAAAAAGTAATGAAAAAGTAACAAATTGTTACTTTTAATAAATGTAAATAAACGTTTAAATAAACGTAAGTAACGTTTAAATAAACATTATTTTAATATTTATAACCAAATTAGTTTATAAATATTACCTTGCATGAAGCAATGCTCGATTTGGCTTGATTTGATTCGATTG